TCTTTATTAAAGTAAAAAATACTATCTTAAAAGTAAAAGAAAAGTTATCTTTTATAATATATAAAATTTATATTAATATTATTTTCTTAATCTTTTTACTATATAAAAGCTTTAATAAGCTAAAATAACTTATATTAAAAGGCTAAAGCTTATATAATAAATAAAAGAATATATATAAAGTAATAATCTTCTATTTTTTATAAAAACTATTAAATTTAGTTAATTTATAGCTATTATAGCTATTAAGGATTAAAAGTTAATAAGTACTTTTTATATAAGACTTTATATACTAGTTAAAATAATTTAACTAATCTAAGCTAATCTTGTTTATTATCTATATATTTTTACTTAAGTAGATATACTATTTAGCTAAGAATTAGCTATTTTAGTACTAAGAGAGGAAGTAATATTTACTTTTTATAATAATATATAAAGGTATTACCTAGCTATCTATATATACACCTCAAATAATAAAAACCTATTCTTAATTACTAAGCTGTTTTATATAAAGCCTTCTTTTATAATTAAAGATTATAATAACCTTTATATATAATAGTATTTTTATTAAGAACCTACTTTTATTAAAATTATAAATATTATAATCCTATATCTTATACTTTATAATTATATTTTATATAAGTATAAACTAATGTTATATAATTATAAGATCTTTAGCTAAGGCCCTTTAATAGTTAATTTAATATTTAAATTATATCTTTAATTAGAGTTATTATTATATAAAGTTATCTACTTATTAAGGTCTAATATATATTATATTATATTTATTTAGGAGTTAGTTATATATATTTTATACGTTATGTTATTATAAAGGAAACCCTTAATTAATTAGGTTAACAACCTTCTTAAGAATTACTTTCTTTTTTACTTTTATTATCTTTATTAAATTTAGTTATCTTTTGCCTTATATAATATGTCTAGTAAGTTAATAATAAAGTGTAGATTTAGGCCGCTAATAGATAGAGGCTGCTTTTTATATAGATAGTTTTTAGTCTTTTTAGATAGCTAAAAGTATAAGGATAATCTAGGTCTCTTAAGGAGAGGATTCTATTGTTATATATAGAGAAAAGGTAGTATAAAGATAAAGATAGTAAAAATAATAAGGACGTATATTACTTACTATAATACGTTACGTACTATATATATATATTAGCTAATCTATATATAATAATATAAAAACACTAGTTATTTCTTACTTATTCTTATTTATCTTTTTCTTTTACTATAAGATCTAATATTATTTTTAATCTTAGTAATATTAATTTATTTAATAATTATAAGCACTAAAAGTACTTTTATAAAGTATTTAGTAGTAAATAAACTAGCACTAGCCTTATATTCTATAGCTATTTTTAAGCTATTACTATTTATAGTAATAAAGAATATCTAAAGAACTTTATTTATATAAGTATTTACTAGAAATTTACTACTCTTAAGAGAAAATAGCTATATCTTATTAAGTATTTCTAAAGTAAAGCTAACTATATTAGTATCTTAACCTTGCTAAAAACTCTTTAAACTTTATTATCTTTACTAACGTTAATAAATTCTTTTTTACTAAAAGTATTAAGGTTACTTAAGAGATCTTTACTATAAACTCTTAGCTTAATTACTTAAAATCCTAAAACACCTATTTATACTAAGAGAACTAGGCTATATACTAAGATAAGTAGACTTTTTATAAAATTATTAAGGATATTAAAGTAAAAGTAAGTAATAATAAAAATAATAAAGTAATTACTAAAAAAACACCTAAATAAACTACTAATATCTTTTCTTAATATAATACCTTAGTCTAATTTACTTTACTTTAAAAGTATTAAAGTTATTAAAATACCCTTACTAATAAGCTTATAAAGCTTAAGTAAAAGATTACTATTCTTAAGTAAGCCTAAATAGTAGCTAATTTACTTACTATTTAGGGATAATAAAGTTAATATATAGCTAATATACTTATAATTACTAAAATATTAACTAACACTCTTATTATAATTAACTAAAAAGATAATATATATTTAATTAATATTAATAAGGCTCTTAATATAAAATATAGATTTTACTAAGCTATTAAAAAGGTTAAGTTAAAATAATTTATTATTAAAACTATAGTTAATACTATAAAATACCTAGCTAGTTCTATACCTAATATTATAAAGAAACTTAACTAATATATTTAAACCTTTTATTAATCTCTAGCTAATAAGCTATAAACTATAAAGAATAAGCTACTTAAATACTTACTAAAAATAAAAACAATATATTACTATTTATTTCTATACTAAACTATTTAAAGTAATAATTATTTACTATATTACTTAATTAAGCTAATAATTAGCTAGTAAATAAGTAGCTTATTACTAATACTTAGTTTAGCCTTTTACTTTTCTATAAAGTAGTAGTTAATAACCTAGCTAATCGTACTAAATACCTTAAGGCTATATATTTTAAATACTATATAAGTACTAATAACTACTACTTAGTCTTTCTTAATACGTATTTTATAGTCTTTCTAGAGGTAGTAGCTAAAGGCCTAGTTATTTAGATTAATAATAACCTTACTAAGAACTAAATCTATAAAAAGCTAACTCTTAAGGTATTATTTTAGCTTCTAGATTACTATTACTTAGGTAGGAAAATATAGTATATTAATAGTATATAAGGCTAGCTACTATAATATTTAGTAGCTAGTAACTTTTTTTAAAGACACCTATTAGATAAGACTACTAATAAAAATAGCTAGGCTAATATTATAGCTAGTTTCTAGACAGTAAGGTTTCTACTAATAGTAAGTAGAGCTTAGTACTTAGTTTATTATATTTATCTTTTTTATTATCTTATTAATTACCTAGTAATTAATTAAGGCTTAGGGTTATAAGGTAGCTTATATAGTATCTTATTAATTAAATTACTAAAGTTAAATACTAAAAGCTATTTAGAGAATATATTATAAGTTAATTACTAAAGAGCTATAGGAGTCTGTCCTTAAAAACGTCTAAGTCTATCCTATATATAAGTCCTAACTATTCCCTAAATAGTTCTTTTAACTAATAGTTATAAGTAATTACTATCCTTATATAAGGTAAGCGCTTAGTAGATACTAGTAAGCGCTTACTTTTATAATTACTAGTAATTACTTTATCTTATAATTACTTCCTTATCTCTATATAACTTATACTATAGTTCTTCTGTTCTAAGGAGTTATCTGTCTGTTCCTTATTTTTTATTTATATAAATCCTACTACTGCTTACTATCTGTCTGTTAGGTAAGGTAATATAGCCTATAACTTATTAGGTTATAACAGCTAACCTTATTACTTATATAAGTACTAGCTTATACTATACTAAGTGCTATAGTTAGGAGTATATTTAGTTTCTAAATAACACTATACACTAAGATATTTATAATAAGAATAAGAAATAGCTCTTAAAGCTATTTATAACTCTTATAGACTTTAATACTATTATAAGTATAAAAGCTACTTAATTACTAAATAATAGTATAATTAAGTAAAAAGTATATAATAAATTCTCTTATATATAATATATATTAAAGAATTATCTAAGTAATAATATAGTTATATTTATAGTAAATTAAAAAAGAAATAGCTTAGTATAAGAAAAGTTAGTTATTAAATATTTATTATACACTACCATTTTATATTTATTACTTATAAACTATTATATATTTTAAGATAAAAAGTAATTTATATATAGGTAATTATTATATAATAAAATATCTATTTCTTAGCTAATTCACTATTACCTAGTTAGGCTAATAGCTATAAAATATACTAGCTATTTACTAACTAAAAGGTAAATAATTAGCTACAAATTCCTTACTAAAGAGCTAATAATTATCTAGGAATTACTAGATAATTACCTTACTATTATTAGAGAATTATTATACTAATTAGTAAAGTATTAGCTAAGGAGATTCCCTATTATTTTAAGAAAAATAGGCCTCTACTTTAGAAAGAGAAAGATATTAAATTTTAGATCTTATTTTCTAGTACCTAAAGTGTAACATAGGTAGTAAATAAGCTTTACTTTTAGGGGTAACTTTACTAATAATATTACTAGGATTAGCCTAGGATTTCCTAACTAAGAAATAGAGGGTTTTCCTTAATTCTATAAGATTTTACTATAGTTACATAACATATAATATAATTAATCAATTAACTATTATAATCTCTATAATTTAATAGAAATCTAATGCTAATTTAAAGTCTGTTTAGTAGCCCTTGCTACCTAATTTACTTCTAATATATATAACTAACCCCTGCTTTTGCCACATACAGATCCTTATTTCTGCTAGCACACTATACCTGTTATAGCGGCCGCAATACCCCTTCCTATTAGCCCATACATTAGCCATAGCTGTATTAAGTCAGTAGCTACGGTAGTGAGATCTGGCACAGGTCAGTGGTGCCCTGTATCGGGTTAGACGTACCGTGATATTATATATATATCGGGTGAACTGCACTGGAACACTTATGGGGGCTCAGAGCGACTACATCTGTCAGTCAGTTACTGAATGTGCCGCCCTGTGGTCCAAAAATAATAACATATCTTTATACCCTTTGGCGTGGAGGGAAGAGACTATGAAGTCCTCCGTCGGTCAACTTCGCGAGCTAAAGCCGAATCTATGGAGCGGGGCCAATCGGGACACGAGAATTATGTGGGGGGAAGCGGTGCTCACCAACAGTCAATGACGTACATGACACAGCGTGTTCGCTTTCTGAGTGACCCGGACCGTCCGAGTCGATCTATGAAGTAATTAGTTGAGTTGATGACTTTCATCAAAAGCCGAGGCAGTACTTGGAATATGAACATCATGTCTGCTTGCCCTTCGTGCCACTTTCATAACATATAGACCCTACAACATCTTATTGCACTTGAACGACAGCCATCCCTTACCTTCACATTTTAAAATCATTAACCACTTTCGTATTATCGGATTCCCATAAGCAGAGGTTCCAATGATGGGTGTCTCTCTTTCGACTGCACAATGGCTTGCGCCTCTTTCATTCGTCATTGATTTTGTGGCCCAGAACTATGGCATGTTCAGTACTCCTAACATGAAAGACGTACACGATGCAAACCTCTCTTTTTGGTCGCCGCAGCCCTTCTTCATTGCCGGGTTCTTCTTCCCACAACAGCTTTTCCAAGTGGCCTGGCTATGGCGCTTGTACAAGGCGGATACGAAAATTGAGCCAATGGATGCAGATGTTGGAACGATGGTTGACTTTGCACCGTTTTACGCCATCGGCAACTTCTGCATTGCGAGTAAGTTTTTGTGTTCTTGGGGAAAATAGGAAGAAAATGTCAGAAGAATGGGCAACCCCAAGCTGACAAGCCATGACAGCGTGGATGATTTTCTGGAATAGCTCAGATCTTAAAACCTCCAACGTTTTTGTCATTATCAACAGCTTTGCCCAACTCTACTTTATCTTCAACCGCCTGCCGCCAATGAACACCAAATCGGTCAACTCTGTTCTCACCCATGTCGTTGCCAAGACATTTGCCGGCATTGGGGTCTTGGATCTTCTCCATAACGGCTCGGTCGCTTACTTTGTTCACCAGCAACCTTCCACCGTTGTCAAGGTGCTTACTGGCGTTGGATTTGGGCTGTTGGCCAGCGTCAGTGATTGGATCTTCGGTGGCTGTCTTGTTTACGACCTCATTGCTCTATCCGTTGGCCAGTCTGCCTATGGGAATGCCCAATGGAGCAGGCTACTTGGCATCTATGCCGGGGGGGCAGCTGCCATTGTCAGCGCCCGAAACATAATGAAGTAAACCTTTTCCATCAGAACGCCTCGCGGGGCCTCAAGCTGACTGTCGTCAGGCCTCCTTACGTTAGCCAGCCCGCAGCTGGCTATAGCCCTTTGTGAAGTAAGGGAATGGTAGAGACAGGTAAGAAAAGGCATGTCACTGTTGCATCTAGAGTAGCTTCTTGCAATTCGTTGACCTGTCCCCGCCTTGTTAGCCTTAGTGGGAAGCTGCTCTGATTTGAGTCGCCTGGTTAAACGGCAATCTGTACGAATTCTGATCCGACCGCATTCCGGTATCATCAAATTTCATCTCCTAAAATTCAACGTGTCATGGATATAGTTCAAACGTGTGCCTAGGTGGTTGTACTGTATATTCTACATGATAAGCCGGGCACACGCTATGCCATTTGGATGTCTAGTCTAATGTGCTCTATTATCTAGTTGGCGCCCAATTGACCAACCATTCCCGCGCTTTGTCCAAGTCTCCTGTGGCTGCTTCACACGCAGCGAGACACCACTCGAAGTCCCATACTCCTTCTCCTGCCAACATCTCTGCTAGCTTCCGCCGCCGCTGTGAAGCCTCGTCAACACAAAAATATATTGGTTCCTGAACTTGAGGGATGCTCTGCACCAACGGTTTCACGATTGGCAAGGCGGCTTGCGCACTCGTTCCTTTGGATTCAAGCCCAAGGTTGGCTCTGCCAGAACGACACCACTCATTTCCGCACCATTTCTTTCCACAGCCTGTCATCAACTGGCCGAGATACCTTCTCTCAATACGACGTCGGAGAGCCTTGCCCTCCGGGTCGTGCATGCTAACGTAGAGAGGTCCAAAGCACAACGAGCAAAGACCCAGATCGTTTCCAGGCCCCTGTCCCATAGCCGTTCCGGCGCCAACGGAGCCAGCGGATCCCACGCCATGAAGAGTTCGGCCACAGTTTGCGTTGCGGCAGATTGCAGGCTTGGATCGGGAAACCTTATCCAACTCGTGGTGCTTCATGTGGGCTGTCATGTCTCGCATGCGAACGATCTTCTGACACAGGTGGCAGTCTGTCGTGCGGGCGCCATCGGCCAGTTCATGAGCTGTGAGACCTGACAGAATTGTCTCTGCAGATGGGTTCAAGGGGTCGCCCTCCTGTGGCACTTCGAGGTGACAGAACTGGCAAAGAATCAATTTCCCTGGGCACACACTCGTACGGTGCAGTGCCAGCTCCACCAGAGATGGCGCCGTGAATTCACAAGATGGGCATTGACGCTCCGTATGCCTTACGTAATCGTGTTTGGCTTTGCTTGCTGATGAGTCGCCGTGGGCATCGTCATGTTCACAATGCCAGTGTGCTTCCCACTCCAAGGATCCCTTCTTGAAGACGTGTCTGCACCTTGTGCAAAGAATGTTGTTTCGAAGGCAGAAGTTCTGGTGTAGCACCAAGGTGCGCTTGGGAACCCACTGGAGGCAGTTTTTGCACTGTTCCTCATCTATTGGCCTCGTCTCATCGTTCACCAGGTCAACCGTCGCATCATGTAATTCTGCCTCTCCTTCGGCTTTCGCCCTGAGACGAAAGTAAACTGGTACCGAATCTTCAGAACCTCCCGCCAAGGGATAGCCATGAACCGCAATGAGAAGCTGCTCGGCGTTCTCCAGCTCGATATTCGTAGGTCGGATGGTAATAGCCTTTCTTCCATCTTGAGAGGGAGCGAAGTTGCTAAAAATATGTTCAAAATCGCGAGGTTGGGCTCGTTGCCGAGCGGACTTTGGACTGATGAACAAGTCTAATGAATCGGGAACCGAGAGCTCGGAGAGCTCAATGGTCAGGGGTCGGGTTCGGTCCCAGGAGGGCAGCTCGTAGTCGACGTATTCTCCTGGCAGAACTTGGCCTTCAGCGGGTTTCCACACATCAAGCTCGCTTCCTTTCGAACTTCCATTAGCAGTACCAGGTTGGGCCTTGGCCATGATTTGGCGCATAGTCTCTCGGGCTTGTTCTTCGTTGAGAGCCTCAATGTCGACTTCCAAGTCAGTATCCACGACGCAGATGCCGTCTCCCTCGGGCAGGAATTTGTCGACCAAGAACTTAAAATCTTCGCCTTTGACGCCGCGGACGGAGAGCACGGTACCCTTTGTGAGGGTGGTGTAACTTTCTCGTAGCTGACGCTCGAGCAGGGACTTCCAGTCGTCGGGGTCGTAACCTGCCTCGAGCGGCCTGAGGCGGACATAGGTCCCCTTGGGCAGTTGGTTCGCGTGCACTGTCACCCTCGGCTGAGTGTGTTTCGTTGAATCGTCCGTCGCGTCAATGGGTTCGCCGCTGGAGGTCTCGCTGCCAAAATCGGTCGGCAGTATGCCCAAAGCTTCCATGAGGTACGGAGCCAAGGCAATCTCGCCATCGTCGGCAGAGAACTCGCGAATGCCGGCGTAGACGATGTTCCCGTTGTTCTGATTGACCAAGCGGAACATCAAGGGGTTGGGTAGTTGCTGGGAAGAGTCGCTATGGTGGTACTGGGTTTGGTGATGGCGCGCATATGGATTGAATGGGTCGTATGAGGTGAAGGTAGAGTTTGCGGGTGCGGGTGGTCGGGGAGATGCTGCGAGCAGCTGCTCGAGGGCAGAGGGAGGAAGAAGAATCTTGTCGCCACGCAAGTCTCGAGGGGCGGATTGTGAGGGTGGGAGTACTGCAAATGGCGCAGACCACTTCAGCTCAGGCTGTGATTCCTCCATATCTTGGACCTCCTGACCGTGGCCAAACGCGTCGGTTTTCGAATTGGCGGTCGTCTCTTTTGCTTTGCGAACCGTCAATGACGAACGGCAGGCGAAAAAGTCTAGGTGGGGTGGAGGGGTAATGAAGGAACTGCTCTTTCGTCGGAGGCACGGTTAGCGTTCGGGGTGTTGCAACTTGACATGATCGGAGGAGAGAAAGCGTCGAGTAAACGGAGTCTGGCAAGAGAAATATCAACCAGGCATGCCGCTTTGAGATGGCATTGCATCACCTAACTAGTGTAGGAAGCAAAACACCACGGTGATGGTCGCGATGAATCAGCATGATGGTGGGGTTTCTTCTGGATTCCATAGAAACCGCCCGCCCGGGGTGGCTGCTGTCATCCAAAGTGCGTTTACTACTACGGAGGTGCCTACCTGTACGGATACTAAGTACCCTACCAGGTAGCCATTAAGGTGGTTATTTAGAGTAGCTTATGTAATTGGACACATGCCAACCCCGTTCAGGCCAGCTCGCGCCACAGCTACGCCTTGTCTCTCCCTTATCTCTCTCTTATCTCTCTCACCGCCTACAGGTTGAGGGGGGCGCAAGCTCCCGAACCCCCGTTGACAGATTGAACCGGGGCGCAACAGCAGCCAGCCAGTCAGTCAGTTAGTCAGTCACATTGACGAGTGCTCATCTCTGCTGCTCGCCGGCTTGGCGGCCTGGCCGCGCACGCTCTTATCTGAGCTCAACTCGCTCAAAATAACTAAAACAAAACAAATCAACACTATTCGGGAACTGCCAGACGCGCCAAGAAGCTCCGTTTCCCTATCAATTGTTCCAGTGCTCCCCCGGCACCAAAAACAGCAGAAACAAAAGTCTCCATAACCCCCGACTCCGCGACTCCGGACTGCAATCCCGCGAGCCCCGGAGCAGGGCTAGCTAGCGGATCAGCGCGCCGAAACGCTCCCCCAAAATATTAGGTAAGCAAAGGAGCCATACAGTCCGTGCATGTACAGCACACCGTATACCCCCCCTCAACAGCTCCCCGGTAATCCCAGGCGGTGTCGCACAGGAGCAACATCTCTCGCAGGAGGGGACTTGGCCCCCGAGGCTTGAGCAGATGGGCATGGCACACTTACTACCGGTACCTACGTACGTACTGCAAGGGTCAACTCAACGTTAGGATGGGGTAAGTGGTCCGAGATACGCGAAGCGGATATTGCGACCTGGAGCAGGTCGAGCAGCACACAGATTAGCTTCTCCTCTTCCCTCTGGCTAGTGTGGTGGACAGTCAAGGGTGGAAAGGTCAAGTGAGACTTGATGCAAAGCCGGCCACTTAGCCAGGCCTTCGACCAAGGGCACAGAAATGCTTACAGTTCAGCACGATCTACATGCACTACCTACAGTAACCAGCTACAAACAGCCATGGCAACTCTAAGCGGTTGATGCGGCTAAGTTGGTCATGCAACAGTTTCAAGCCAGATCAGCACACCTTCATTGGAGCTTTGTCGGTTCACTCGGGATGAGATGAGTAGACTCTGATATCTATATGACAGCACTCGCCCAAATGAGGGGAGCTGAGCTAGGTAGTGAAGCTGTACGTACTACTAGCACAATGCGAGGGAAACAAGGGATCCCAATAGTGCCCTGCGCTATTGTTTTGTTTGGATGAGAACCGCCTCGGCACTCCCACACCTAGCCAGGCCGATGCAGCTTGCCTCATACCGCCTCAACACCTTGCTCACCTCACTTTTCCTCACTTCACCTTATGACTCCAACCAAACCCTCGCCTTCGACTCCATGGAGTGAGTGTCTTCCATACGCGCCACCCCCCACCCCCGTCCCATTGCTTCACTGTTCGGTCCGTACACCACGTCTTTCCCAGCCGTTGTATCTCCTCAAGCGGGCGACGCATGAATAAGTCGATGCATGGCAAGCCTCTCAGAGGCACTCAGCATTGGTGTCGAGGTGCCAGCTCAGTGGGCCTCCGCTGTTGCTCTGCAGTTGCCAAGACTGTGCCAAACAGCGGGTTGAAGCTCATCCGTTTCAACCGCACTATTCTCCGCCTCCTCCTGCTGCCACCATGGCTTCATTGACTGGGCACGGCCAATCCTTCTTTCAGGGCCCGACCCAGCTGGGCCAACCCCCAGATGCTACTCTCTGTTCCACGCTTACCACATTTTACCGGCAACGCCAACACCTGCCCTGCTGGGTGAAGCGACAAGCCAGTCAACGGGTGGGGGCAGGCACGCTTGTGTCTGTCTGTCTTGCCTTGGCTGCAACGCTTTTGCTTCTACCCCATCCTCAAAAAACGAAAGAACCCCAGATGGGGGTAACGGACTTGGATGGGGGGGTGTGAACCAACCCACCAACTTGGACGTGCATGTATCGTAGGTATTGGGGACTTGGACCAGTCTAGCCTACCTACTGAGCTCTAGCCCGCCCGTGCTGCATCTCTCGACGCATCTCGTCGTCGGTACTACTCTGTATGAGGGCGGTTAACCTCGAGGTCCCCTTGCCACATGTACAATAACACATGCTACCCTGTCTCAACTCTGCTTCACGGAGTGAGTGCATCTTCACCGCAAAGCTAAGGATAGACACACCCACGTTTCTTGTCTTGCCTTGCCCGGACACTAGCCCACCGTCCACTCTCTTTTCGTACCTCGCAAGGTTTGACGGTGTACATATTTAGATCAACACGTCTTCCGGCTCGAGTATGCATCAGAACCTGCCCACACAAGCTAGAGAGCTCTGATTTTCCCTACGCAGACCGCCATCATCATCACTACAAAAGCTGACAGCGATTACGCCACTGCCAGCGAAGCCGCCTGATCTGCCTTGTCGACCATCCTGTCGCCGTGCTCGCTTCCATTTCTGTGTTTCCCCCATCCTACTTCGTTCTTCTGTTCTCTTCCGCCAAAACCACCGTAATCGACCAACTTTTTTTGATTACATCGCCGCCGACCTTCGTGATTTACGGCCGTCGCATACCTCACTACCTTTCTATTCTTCCGGACCCCTCCACCACGCGCCTTCGCCGTAATATGCTCCAGGACGTTGAGGACGCCTACACGCTCTACGAGAACCCGGCCACGACTTTACTCTACCTCCTTTCCAATCATCTCATCCTATCCCACACAGCGCCTCACCTCTCTGTCCATGATCGCCTGAACCTTGCGTCCACAAGCCGAGGATTCCTAGAACTCATCAAGCACACCTCTGGTGTATTTAGGCATCTTGACCTTACCCAAGTCCGCCGTGCGCAATTTGACTTCGATGGCATCGACCGTGGAGGCCAAGTCTGGCGCAACGTCCAGCTCGACGAGAACTTGACCGAAGATGAGTGCGTCCAACATCTATCCCCTCTGCTCGCCCCCTTCTCGGTCGCGGGAAGTGAACTCAAGTCGCAGTGGGTCCCTTGGAGCCTTGGAGGACCCAATGGGCGGTGCAACGGTTGGCTGACGCGATGATTTCACCAGCTTCTACTCGGGCCCGCTAAGAGGCATCTTCTCCAACATTCGTGCACAACACATTCTCCAGGACGTGCAAACGCTGATCCTTGATGGCCTGTCCGTGACGGCCGAGCTTTGCCACGAAATCATTCTCGACCCGGCCTACAGCGTTCGCCTCCTCTCCATCCGCGGCGTCAAGAACCTCAATGAGCGCAAGCTTTGCGGCGCTCTTCAATATGCCTGCAGACCGTCACGGCCAGAAGGCATGCCCCGACTAAAAGGCATGTACGTCTTTGGTGCCAAACACACTCCGCTGCTGTCAACAACGGCGCCGGGCATCGCGCCTAGCGCAGCTTCACACGCACCGCCGATCAGTGCAGGATCAGGATGGAACGCCAAGTCGCAGCAGGCCTTGACCTTCTCCCTGCGCACCGAGGGAGAGGACTGGTATCAGAAAAAGGGCCGCATCATCTCGCGCCCCTTGGTGGATGAATGGGCCAATACCCTGGTAGATTGTCATGGTATCATCGCATTCGATGCTCTGGCCTGCACCGGTCCCCACCACATGAATTCGCCCGCGTACGCCAAGGTGAGGGTCCCCCCCGCAGCTCGGCACTGGGCCGTGGCCACAATCGCATTGGGTGGTTGCGCCGGATGCGGCGCTGCGCCAGAAGGCATGACGGTCCACAACGGCACGCCTGCCATCCAACGTCCACTATTGGCGCCCCCACCACTCACGACGTCTTCGGTCAAGGCCGCGACTACACCGTTCATCGGCCCGGGATCGAATTCGTCCTTCGTTGCACGATGCGTCGACTGCCTCCGAGAGCGATACTGCGCTGGCTGCCACAAGTGGTGGTGTGAGGAATGCTACCAGACGCCCGGCGCCGTGACCGAGCTGGCCGACACGGACGTGGTCGTCGTGGACGCCGAGGGCGGTGCCTGGGTACAGCATCAGGAGCATGAGAGTCATCCCAAGATCAAGGTACGAAACGGCGCCTGCTTCCCGGAATGTCCCATGGGCGAGGTCATCGACGCGCAGAGGGTGTTGCTGGGCTGATTATAAGACGTTCTCCGCCGTCTGATCACGCCTGCTCAAAGTGTATGCCACAATGCTGTCCATGTTTCTCGTTCTCCGTCGAACCCCCTACCTTGGTCACTTGTCAAAGTTCGCGTGCTTTTTAGAGACCCAAAGTTGCTGATAACAAGGGAAAGCAGGCTCGTATTACCAAAAGCTGCTGGGAATGCGGTAGCAACGTGAGTCTAATGCCCAAACCCAGGTCCGCAGGCCCATCAAACCCCGAAACTGACGGCTAGGAAACAGTGTCACGATTGCATCGAACGCACACAGAGGCTCTGCAGAGGCTGCTGTGGCGGATATTGCATGATTCACAATGAGGGATCGACCTCAACTTTTGTAAGCCTGCCGCCTCTTTACCACCGTACCTCTTGCTCTCGCTAACTCTGTTCGCAGTGTGACTGTTCGCTCTCCCCGATCTCTCCAATGTCGTCCGTCTAGATCGCTGACTTTCCATAGGGTGCTCAAGCCGCGGTCGGTTCTTGAGACACCTTTAGGTGCATTTCTTTCGGCGACGATGACAGCCTCGGCAGTAGTCTTAGCCATCGAACAGCCGTAACCGTGACTCCGGCAGCCTCCAACGGTCCAGAAGGGGGCCCTACAGTGATGCCTGTTCCGGCGATTCGGTCCATTTTCTCCCAACACCTCTCCACTCTTGTCGAGTCAATCGTACGAGCCTCGGCATTTCCAGTCCCTTGTTTTCGGAGGGCAACGGTCGTGGTTTTTCTTTGCTTTGGTACTTATTTTACCATCACTATGTATGAAGCGCACGGGTTCACATCATCGACCTTTTTCTTTTCTGCTCTCCCTTTTCCGAGATACCCTTGAAGAACAGTGTTTCAGGCGTCAGTTGCACAAGAGTAGCGGCAATGGACAATCTCAATTCTCTCTCGTTCTATCATTTCCGTTGTGATATGCATCATGCCAGATATACTCCAAGGTGTCAAATCACAGTGTTTTCATAACCCTAATGCGGGAGCACGGCTCGTACCCCTAAGTTTGCCATGCCTTGACTTTATTTTCGATCACCTCTTGCTCGTGGCATTCGATGAATTCTTGATACTGGCGCGTCTGAGATCCGCCGATCACTCACCTAGGACTTGTTTCAGAGGACAAGACGGTCTTTTTATTATTCTATGTCGGTAGAAAGACGGTGTTGTTATAGTCCCTGCATAGGGTTGTATCACTGCTACGTCCGGCTTGGGAGTAACCTGAGACCTCTCTTTTGGTGCATTCCCAATTGTCTGGGAAGCCTGGTAGGGCGACTGCCACTTACCAAGAATCAGATATCATATCGGCAAGGTAGACATCTCTCTCTGCCTCCGGAGACGACGGGACTTTTCCCTCTCCATCCAACTACATTTCGAACTGGTTTACCCTTACTACAGCCCCTCAATTGCAAGCGTAACTGTCTTCCTAAACACGAATTGCTGTTTCGAGCCCTGTTTCACGACGGCGAGCTGCGCAAAATCTGGGGCCTCCCTGACTGCAATCAAGTGATCTCAATCTCGACACGCAGTAGCATTGTTGGACTGGAAGCCCTGTAAGAGACTGCAAGAGGCCTGGGGCTCCTTTCAAATGTAACAATCTCCCGTGGGCTGATTCCACAATTGGTTATAGCTAGAGAGTACGACCCTTCTTACATCACATTCGAGCTGACATTGCTTAGTGGCCACGAAGACCGGCAACACCATCAAGCGTTGGAACAAACGTCATCAGGAAAGCATAGCATAGCCCGTCAAAGGTCTTTAGGCAACTGCCGAATAACAATTGTCATAGAGGATGGCATCGCAAGCTTGCCTAGTTGGCTACACAACATTCCATCTCATTCTGGCTTAACACAAAGCCATCTTTCTGATTCCCTACCTCAGGGAGTTTTCACGGCAAGCGTAGGCATTCTTACCACTGTTAGCTTTGCTGAGGATGGTCTGAAAAATACTGAGACTTGATCTAACTCGCGTCACTTGTTGAATCTTGAGCTGCGGGGATTTGCTGAGCTATCTGTTGCTGAAAGGTTTGACAAATTGGTCTCCAATGGTAGTCACCTGTCCATGCATGACTTGCACCACAGACTCGCACATGAACCAGATGTCTCAGTCATTTTCCAGAATGTACTACTCGTAGGAACTCTGTGTGAAGCCACGTGCAATACTTTGTCAGGTTCGTGTGCCCTCAACCCAGTGTTACTCGGCAAAGTGAACACCCCAAATTGTGTGTAGCTGTAGTTCCACAACAATTGCGTAAACGGTTCAGAAAGGAACCCCCTGCTGGCCGTTCTGGAAGCCCAATAGGTTGCTTGTGACTCTGCTAGGGGATGCTTCTGTCATCTTGGCTCAGCGTTGTTGAAGTAGTTTGGACTTGGCCACACCCCTCTCACAGTGTTTGCTATTAACAAACGCTGTCTCACAAGGCTGACTGTAGCCACACCAATGGATGAGGCAAATTGTGCACAGGTTCAAGAAATGAAATGATAAAAGGTCGCTTTTTTCTGGTCCGCCAGAGGCCAGGTAGAAGCAGAAACCTCCACGACTAGGTTGGACGCCTTCCAAATGCCTTGATCACCTAGGCCAGTATGATTGCCTTCCCCATAACGACGAGAGGTCTTTCTTTATTACTTCTGTGTCTCCAAGCTGTAGGAACCAATGCCATAGATAACACACTACACCCGGAGCTCGTCAGATTACTGAGAAAGAGTCCGACAGAGCTCGATAAGTTGAAAACCCTCCCCAATGATAAAGACTGGACATTCAACTATTTCGCCCATCAATATCATACCTACACCCCTGGTGGAGTACTCAACGCGAATGCTGCCACGTTCCCAGCAACAGTGGACAATGGTATGGCCATGGCTTTGATCACTCTCGGCCCCTCCGCCATGCTGCCGCCATACTACCACGCACGCGATTTCAACTACGTAGTGTCGGTGGTGGAAAGCGCCGAGACATATATGACGCTGGAGGGCGGCGCTCGCGTCATCAGGACGAAGCTTGACCCAGGGATGATGACGGTCTTCCCCCAAGGCAGGCTGCATATGATTCAAACACAGGCAAGACATCTTTTGGGCCGGAAACACCGAAAAAGGCTAATGAGATCTCCCAGGTTGTGGGAACGCCACTCTGATATCGGCCCTGAGCTGAGAAGACACCGGCACACCAAACGTTGCCAATGGACTGTTCGACTTCCCTTAATGTGTTGTAGCCACAGCGTTCGGCGGCAACCTCCCTTCCTGCCAAGTTTGTGCAACTTCGCCGTGATATCCCCGCAGTTGGAGCTGGTGCCTCGGTTGGCACTGTTGAACGCCTTCAGCGTTGCGAAGTCAGCGGTTACAAGTACGTAAACGCTACAATATGCCAGTTCTGTAACTACGAACGAAATCATCGCGCTGACGCTTTGGCAGGTAGATTGATCCGACGTTGGAAAAGCTTCAGGGGCGGCCTGCCAAAGTCCCCGAAAGCTCGCAGTACAAACACTTCTGGCGTATTGTTATTGGAGATTGGTCTGCCTCATTGCTTACAAAGAATATACTTCTTCACAAAAGCCGTGGTTTGGCGGGCGGTACGGCTGTGTTGGTTAAATATTTGGATCCCCGAAACGTGTAGGGAGCATTGCCAGATCGGGCGAATTGTGGGGGAAGGTTGATGTTAGCCAACATTTCTGTCTGCCGTTCCATGATATAGTAATGGTAATCAGTCACTGGTGTTCCCAGAGCCGAACTTTCGTGCGACCCATGAAGCACCGTACTCTTCGTACTCCTGCTTCGTAGCAGAGAACTTGTGAATGTCTGGGTGTTTAGCCAGGTTGGCGCCTCCTTCCCAAGTGCTAGTGATGGGGTTGACGGGATGCGCGACCCGAACGATGCAGGCATCAGGAACTCTCTTGACAAGCTCCTTCTCCAGTCGCTGAATAAAACCGGGAAACAAGGCGTTGCCGCCAACAACAACAATATTGGCTAACAGGCCAGGCCAGAGCCCGATGGGTAGTTCGGACAGAGACTGCATGATAACATCGGCAAGACCAGGTTGACGGAGGCCAACGTCAGAAGGTTGAAAAAGCAGCTCGGGAACGGCGAATCGTTCGTTTCGGAGCGTCAGGATGTCTTCGTCGTTGTCTGAGGTTCGTGCCGCCATCTTCTTCGCCTTTTTATGCATCGCAGGGTCGTAGTCTCGAATAAGGCCCTTGGTTCGCGTGTGGAAGTCGGGCAAGACGTAATCTTTTGCAATGCCGGCTCCGGTGACATACGGTTCCCTCCTCTCGCCCCGAGTACCTTTCCAAGTCTTCTCAAGGTCTCCGTTGAAGTCCATTGAAACGTAGCTGGCCTGTTCTTTGAGCTCGTTGACAATGTAAGTGTCGTTGCGCATATCGTAGTACCTCAGAGACAGAAGGCGCGTCAGGTAGTTCGTCATGAGCTTCCCACCAACGTCGAGCCTACGTACAGCGGAGTGTAGCGGTCTGCCCTTGAGAAGGGGCATAACGATTGTGTTTGAGTAGCCAGAGTCGATCAACAGCACAACTTCAGCCGGGAGATTGGGTATCGTGTTAGGGTCTCGGGGTGTCTGAAGGATACCTTGGACGTCGTGGTACGCGTTGAAGGAGACGCCTGACGGAGGAAACGAGACCAGGTCAGTCAAAGCCCCGGCTTGTAAGCTAGGATGGGGTAACATACCGATGCCGCGATAGTAGCTTGCGAATTGATATTCCTCGAAAACGATCTGGTCGCAGTTGGATTGGAGCATAGGCAGCGAGTTGGGCTGCTCTGTGAGGAGAAGCCTGGTTTCTGAGGGGTCGCATCTCTGAGGTGCATTGTCGTTGAAGAACTCGTGGTCCCAAATCTCCTTCTGAGCCTCCCAGTTGACGATGTACCCCTTCTCTACCGGTCGCCGAAATTGAATCTCACCGAAATCGCGGCACTTGTCCAGATCAGACGCGACGTAGACCTTCCTTGCTCGGTCTCTAGCAATGCAGTTGGGAATCACTCGGGGCTCTTCGGTGACCTCTTCGGAGACGAAGCCAGCCTTGATGGTGTATGCACCGTTGTCGAGCACAAGAGTTTTTAACGGAGGCGCAAGGCCTGCGGATTTGTTCTTGTGACCACCAGCCATCGGAAGAAAATGCGCTGGTAAGGTGGTGGGTGATCGATCGCGACTTTCCGAACTTTCCTGTCAGAGAGGCTTTCGCAAAGCTCCCAGGTTGAACAATGACTCTTATTGGTTGAATCACAGTAGTGGGGCTGACCTGGTCGGTGGTCGGGGAAAACGTCACCGCGCTGCTGACATAACGCAACAGCTCTTTAATGCCCACATGTTGATGGAGCGAACCGTTTCCTTTTATTCAAGTCTATATACGCTGTGTGTCTGTCTGTAAAATTTGGTATATTTACTGGGATTCCTATGAAAGTCCTAATGCGGACATAATTTGAGCTATAGCGCTACAGCGAGCTGCCCCAAGGGCAATTCTGAACGCTGCTGATATACGTTGTTTGAAGTTTATGGTTTATGACCGAATAACATACACACAATTTGGAGATATCACAAGGAAGCTGTTATGGAACAAGGCTCTTGTCCAGCCCGTACCCTTCAGCAACGTTTGTTTTATTACGTAGCACAGCAGGTGAATGATTCTTCTATACTGAATAGTATTTCAATATCGTTTAAACCGTCCTTGTTGGTATCGGATCGAGAAACGTGGAAGCTGCGACGCGATCGTTGTGGCCATGACCATCGAGAAAAGTGTAGTATTACAGCGTTTGCCAGGACTTCATGCTGACTCGGATCTTGCACATGACTATTTCAGGTCGCAAACTCACCTCATGTATGTTGCAATCCCGAAGCCAGAAAACGTGCTGTCATAACACGGCGGAAAACCGCTGTTGGGTGTTCACCGCCGCCGTCCAGGCGTGACGGACGAATGTCTTGGAGCGTCACGCGGCAATGCCATGGCATTGGCCAGGGAGATAAGGCGGCAGGCAGATTGAGGCCTACGGCTGGAGCACATGAGGCACACCGCGGGGAAGCCATGTCTATCAGCGAGCGTGGCTTGATGCACTTGTAAAGTCTTTGGGCATTTGGTAATCTAGAACCGGTGAGGCACTTGTTACAAACTTTTGCTGGAAAGTTGCACGTGCCAAACGTGCATCTGCGAATGTACGCGAGGTTGGAAAGGATAACTAGCACTGCTTCAGCTTATCGAATGCAAAGCATCGGCCGAGCAAGTCGACTCGCCAGCATCATGACAGAATCGGGGACAGGCGCGGGAGGTTAGTATCGATGAAGAAAAAGGGGGCAGGTTAGAATCTAGAACCTTGGCCGCAATACGGGCTCAACTATGGGAGATATCATATTAGCTCTCTTGCAGGACCGAGGTGTGCAACCTTTTGGGAGGCGGATATGTGCATGAAGCTGTCGGAGGGCAGTGAAGTACATGAGCTTTGCGGCGTCGAGAGCATTGAATGGCAGGGGAGGGTGACCCACGGGCGGGGTTGTGATGGGATAGATGAGACAGGGGGAGAGCATCGTCAGGTGTGCCATGGTACGGATACACTGTATCGAGCATTGCGAAAAGGAAACGATGAGCTGTGCAAATGCCGTAGGAAATAGGGGCCAAAAGGGGGCAATGGAGAGACGATGGTGATAACTCTTAGCGGTTTATGCTGAGAGTCAGTCGGAGTAAGACTATGCACATTGTACGTAGTAAGGTTGTGGTTGTGAGGAAGACCAGAAGCAGGGTTTGTTATGTATGCTGGCACGCCGACTAAGCACGCAGCAAGAGGGGGGGCCTCTGATTTTGAGCCATGTGTATCCGTATTCGTACAACAAGCTGTTGTTCAGACAGACTTGACTGTGCTTTTCATGAAGCAAGCATCAGCGCGCGCATGTGCCTGCTGGTCCGAACAGGTAGGTGTCCACAGTGCAGCACTGTTGGATGGAGCGAAGGACGGCCTTCGCTCCATCCATGTATGTGTGTACCCTTAGGCGGGGGAAATGCAGGCAGTGATACCTCCGCGGTACAGTCAGAGGCAAGTGCATTTTGGGCGCATATGGATGTCGGGGAAAGAAGGGGGGGTCCCGCCAGAGCTGGCTCCACCCTCCGCGTCAGCCTCGCCCCTCGCCCCTCTCCATCGCACCTTCCTCTCAATGGCCGCAGCAAGCAGAAGGTGTTGTTTGTCGTCGTTTGGCCCTATTTCCCAGTCCCTGCCATACAGTCGGTCGGTCGCGTTCGACTCTTTCCTCTTTTTCACCTATCACCACCGGGCGGCCCAACTCTCAACTTTCCGCCTCCACCAAAATCCCACCTGAGACGGAACCGATGTCCCCCACACGCCTCGTGCCTTGCTCGCTCCTCCACAACCCGCCCAATTGCCCAACATTCCGTGAGTCAAATCCTGTAATCCGTCCGTACCTGGCCGGATGAACCTCCTACCTTACCTAGGCAGGTACATAGGTAGCGGTAAACACGCCATAGTCAGCTTAGGTACTTAACTTAGGTAGGTAGATAGTGGTAGTGTATGTATCCGTACATACAAAGACCTAGAAGCCCGCTCGGGGCCCACGGTCCTTTATTGTATGTACTAAGTACGATGGAGGCGCTTTGCGCAGGTACATGTCACCCCCGCCGTCTTGGGCTTGATCCAATGTACCTGGCCATGCGAGGCCTCATCTTAGTGTACTCTACCCACCTATAGTTACGTAGTAGTGTGGGTAGTGTTCTGCTGCAGGAAACTTCACACGATACTTTCTTGGACCCTTCCTATCTTGATTCTTCCCTTCCCATGGTTCCTCCCTCTCTCTCTGTCTCCAGCAAAAACACGTCAGACGTCACATTGACTTGGCGACGCCGTCATTGACAACTTTGACGGCTACCTGCCACTCACTTAGGACACGACCTACCTAATCGTACCTTGACTTCATTGACTTCCACTGGCGACTCAGACTCGCCCCTCCCTGTCACCGACCGCTGTCTACCTCACCTTTGGTACACCGTACATATGATCCATACCCACCTACACTACGTACATTACCCACCGCGTGCGCCACGGACCTGCGAGCGCACAGTACCAAATACGGATACCGATAACCACCCTCTCCCCCCAGTCTTTCCGCCTTAACCATCCCCCCCCCCGGCCCGACGACTCTAACAAGCATCTGTTGCTCGTCCCTCTCGTCGCTATCCCCGATCGGTCGCGACCTCGCCATCTTGGCCCCCTCTCTTTCTTATCCGCCGTGCCGGTTCTGCCCTCTCCTTCTCATCAAAACACTCCTGGAAGCTATAGCTCTTCCTGCAACCTCACAGCCGCCACGTACGTATACAGATACCTAGTACGACAAGAAGTCCACGTCGTCACAAGCTTCCAAAACCCCGGAACCTCCGCCCAGTTCCATCCCGTACGCACGCAGCACCGAAACAACAAACAACAGCATCACCCGCTTACCACCATCCACCCACTACCCCGGGCTCTCAAATTGCCCACTGCACATTAACCCAGCACCATCCATCGCCGCTGTCGCCTGCTACGACCACATCACCATCGCATCACCTCGCACCCTCCCCTTGAGGACCGACAAGTCGCATCGCTCGCTTCCCCGCTCGTCTGCCCTCACTAAACAATGCCCGCAGCCCTTTGCAACTTCATCTGAAGGATGCATTGTTGACTGAACAATTCTCGACTTCTCACAACTGTAGATTACAGCAGTATTTGCCATCGGGACCGCGATTGTCACTTGCTGCTTTCTGTCGACGGCACAACTACGCCACGCTTAATTCGGCCGGCTTCCAATATTTGCACCCGTCGCGTTCCATCCTTCTGCCAACCTTACCCTTAGTCCTTTACTGGTACCCCGACCACTGTCATTCCTGTCGAGCACCCCGCCAACCGCTGGGGACGATTACGCCGATTCAAATCCATAAAACCCCCCAACTCCACGAGGCCGCAATAGGATAGACCATTTCACAGCATCGAAGCAACATGGGCAATTCAAGCACCAAAGAGTCTCGTCCGGTCGACCCGGCGACCGACTATCGCCAAAGCCAGACTGCCTATCTGGGCACATCGACTTCCAGGGATCCTCCAGCCGATCGGTTCAGCTCACGGAGGCAGAGTCGCTTTAGCAGAGGCGACCTCAACCTGCTCGGACTCGGAGCAACCGGATCCTCCAGCGCTGCCAGCAGAGACGATGTCCCTTATGAGCGGAGAGAGACGAGACAAGAAAGGGAGGCCCGACGACTCGAGCGAGAACGCGTTGCCAGAGAGAAGGAGCGTGAGCGCAGCATGAAGGAAGAACATGTTGACGGCGGCTACCTCGTCACCCTTGGAACATACACTGGCCCCGAAGATTTTAGCAAACCCATCGTTCGCCAACTGCAGGCAAGTTCAGCCTTGAATCCCTCATGTACTGAAACGCATGCTAACATTGACTATCTGGCAGATTGAGAGGCGTCTTGCGCCCTTCTGGAGAGGCCTCAATGACTATTCCGACAACTGGACCGAATACCAGCTCATTTGCGCAGGCCGCGGCCTTCCCATCCCCGCTGCCGACGAGCAACCTCCACCCGAGTTCATTCCGCAGGCCAACTCGCCTGCCTCGCCTGACGACCCGTCACAGAACCTCGCCGGCCTGACCGTCCCAATGGGCCCGAGGTCTTTGTCCGTTGGCTCGGACCGTAGCGGCTCCTTACCTGGCTCCGGCATTTCATCACCCAATGCCGCTCAACAACAGCAGCGTAGCAGTTCGCCCTTCAAGCCCCGAGCGAAAGCTCTGGCCGCTGCCTTGAGCGGAGCGTCACGCAACAACTCGTCGGGTGACGCTGCTCCACGCGAAATCAGGCTTCCCAACGACCCATACGTCAACGGACAACCCCTAGAAGTCTTCCTGTACAAGGACGCTTGTGAATGCCCCATCTGCTTCCTGACATACCCGCCTTACCTGAATCGTACTCGGTGTTGCGACCAGCCCATCTGTAGTGAATGCTTCGTCCAGATCAAGCGCGCCGATCCTCACTATCCCGAACACCACGGCGAACCGAATGAGCAGCCTCCGAACCCCGCCAACCCGGAAGAAGCTTCCGAGATGCTGATTTCCGAACCCGCTCAGTGCCCCTACTGTCAACAGACGGAGTTCGGTGTAACTTACGACGCCCCCCCATTCCGTCGTGGTCTCTCCTACGCCATCGGATACCCGTCGCAGAATACCGCCATGTCATCACAGAGCTCCCTGAGCTCAACTTTATCACCGACTTCACCCAACTCTTTTAACAGACGACGTGCTCAAAGTCTGTCGGCTAACGCCCCGAACGTTGTCACGACGGACCGAGTACGCCCTGATTGGTCGACGAAACTTGCGGCGCAGCGGGCACACCAAGCCCGGAGGGCTGCCGCGGCAACGGCATTGCACACCGCTGCATTCCTCATGGGCAACAATGAGCAACAACGCGGGTTCACGTTTACGAGGCCTGGTCGTTTCAGCCGCAGGAACACCGGTAGCCGTACGTCTTCGGGGCCGTCTAATCACCCTGCAGAAGAAAGCCCCAACCGTCATCCCGAAAGCGAAGCTGTCCAGGCTGGACCCGAACCGGGACCGCGGGGTTCCTCGGGTCGTGGAGCTCTCAATAATAGGAGAAGCAGGATGGAGGAGTTGGAGGACATGATGTTTATGGAAGCTGTCCGGCTCTCTCTCGCAGCGGAGGAAGAGCGAAAACGCAAGCAGGAGAAGGCGGAACGCAAAGAGGCCAAGAAGAGGGGCAAGGAGGAGCGCAAAGCTGTCAAGAAGCAGGACCGTCAAAGCTTCTACGGGGGTGAACAAAGCTCTGCGAGCGCTAGCAGTCTCTCTCTTGGTCTTGGTCGACGCCGTGGCAATAGTACCACTAGTAACCTTCGCGTGGAAGCTACTCTTCAGGGGGCACAGTCGACTTCTGCTGGTGCCAGCGCCGATACATCACCAATCGCGGCGCCGAGCAACACGGGCCCAACCTCCGCCCCTTCTCTAGCACCAGTTCCGACAGCGAGCTCCAAGGGCAAAGCTGTCGAGCGCCCAGCAGTCGAGACGCAGTCTTCTGAGAACAGCTTCCAGAGCACCTCGTCAACTCCATCGTTACCCATCCCAACACCCGGTCGGGGTCCTTCTCATCTTAGACATATGAGTAATGCGTCATCCATCTCGTCCTCCCTAGCTGATAGTGCTGCCGGAAGCTACACCAATCAGGTATACCTCGATCCTCGGGCGAGCGAACTGAGTGTTGGCAACCGAAGCGAAGAAGGCGACCGCGACAACACTGAGCCGATGTTCAACTTTCGGAGCCTGGCGGAAATGGTAGGGGTTGATATTGAGAACGGTGAGACCAACGAGAATGAGGGAGGAGCGTCGGGTGAAGGTCAGAGGGCCACGACAAGGAAGAAGGACGAAGTTGAAGACGAACCCGAAGCCGAGCATATGGAGGAGACCTCTATCGAGCCACCCACCCATGCCAGTGTTGGTATTTTGAAGCTTCCACCTACTGTCCCCGAAGAGCCTGTCGACGGCAGAAGTAGCAAGGGCGATGTGTCTCCTGGCAGCGGGGCACTAACTCCAGAGGTCACGATCACCCCCGAGACCCCAGGGCTAGCAACTGAAGAGGATACCGAAATGAAGAGGCTCGGTCACGACAACGTCGTGGAGAGATCCTCCGAGATTATACAGTAGGGGGATAATGACGGTAATATGGAGCAGCACGATCCTGCCGCGGCGGATGGCAGCGATTTCAGCATAAGAGCTTTGGGAGACATTTGCATACACTCTGGGTTGGGAACTCAAGGACACTCTGGGCGTTTAGCGTGACATTTTCGAGGGCAGAGTGGATTAGATATGTTTTCTCCTCCTCCCTTTTTCTTTTCCGTCATGTGAGAATGGCTAGCTCAGTGTATTCTACACCAGCATGAGAAAGTACGTGTGACAAGAAGCCGAGATGACGTCAACCTCGGCTCGACAATTCTATGCATTAAAGCAAACGCTGAAGAAGACAGTGGCTGAAGGCTGGTTATTTGATCTTTCCCGTTTACCAAAGACGCAGCCCTGAAAGCCCCTGGGTATATCTACAGATGAGACTCGGCGGCAGCAGCAAGTGTGGACGTGGCAGCATCAACCACGGCGGCTGCATCAGAGGTCTGCGTACGCTGGTTCACAAAATTCTCGTCAGGACTGGCCCAGCTGTAATTGCGCCACTCTCCCAAGGCCGGCCACATATGCTCCGTCACGAGGCGCTCAATCTTGTTATATCTACTCAGAAGGGAGGCATCGGTCGGGGTCTTGTCAGTGCTGCTCTCGGCTGCCAACTCGCGAAGCATGCTCTGCCAGGCGGCGACCGTCTCCTCCAACTCAGAGACGGAGGTGACACCCATGACGCTGACACCGACCTTGGCGGGACTATTGTAGGCAGGCGACAGTACCTCGCTGCCAAAGGCGGCGCCGACGCGAGCCCAGTTCGCCATGGCCCAGTATAGCGCGACCTCCTCCATCTTCTCGCCGACGCCCTCGGCGATGCCGGCAAGTCCCTTGCACGACTTGCGTAAGGGGCTCGGGGCGGGATGCCAGCTCGCCATGGGCCCGTCGTCGACGCCGCGGGTTGTGAGAAGGCCCATGCTCAGCATACTCGCGTTGGTGACGACGGAGACGCCGGCGGCCCGCAGCCGCGACAGGACGGCGTCGCTGCCGAGGGTGTTATTCTGTATGCAAAAGTGGGAAAAGGACTGGACGGCGTCAACGGGCTCGCCGGTCTCACGGAGTACCTTCTCGGCGAGCTCGCACAGGACGGGCACGGGATAGCCGCAGATGCCGACGTAGCGGACGAGAGCCTCCTCGTCGCGGAGTAGGCGCAGCTCGCGGACGGCGGCGACGACGTCGTCGGGGGAGACATACTCTGCGTCGTGGGTGTAGACAAGGTCGAGGTGGGAGGTATTGAGGCGCTCGAGGCTGCGGCGGACGGATGCGCGGATCCAGGCCGGGGAGTAGTCGAACTCGGCCGGGGCGATACGACCGGCCTTTGTGACGAGGAAGTAGGACTCGCGGGGCGGGGAGAGGGCACGCAGGGCGGAGCCGAGGATAGCCTCGGAGGGGCCGTAGTAGGGGGAAGTATCGAAGGCCCTGACGCCGAGGTCGAGGGCACGCGAGACGATGTCGAAAGAAGGCATGCGGTCGGGGTCCGACACGTATTGGTAGTTGAAGGTGGCCGTACCGAGCACCAGCGGCGGCAGGACGGCCGAAAGTGGAACGCGGTCGGCGGCGGAGGCGTTGGTGCGCGGGGCAGCCATTGTTGTATGTGTTCTTGTGCTCTCCTCCCGATCTACAGGCCTAGAATTGGAACAAGTCTGATGAGTCAGCCCGTTCCCTGGCTGGGCGCTGCTTCTGGGATAATGAGGATGGAGAGCATGAGATGTCGTGAGAACCGGCAGATGGAAGGAAGACAATGGTAGTCAGAGTCTCCCCCCCCTGCCGCACTTGACCGAATGCATGAATGCGACTTGCCCTGCCGAAAGTGCGGGGTAAAATGCCATCTTCTCTTTTTGGGGTTTCGCTGGAATGGGACTGGTGAGCTGGGAGTTCCAGATGTGTACAAGTACTACAAGGTGAGGTGGTGATTGATGGTTCATGGCCGCACCTGATAGTCGTTAATTCATTCCGTGGTCAAGGAGAGCCTTCAATTACTATGCTTGAGCCTGTTTGATATTTCCCGCCACCTGGTCATGCAGAGTGTTTGGCTGCATGCCTACGGTAATACATTACTATGTCTCGATTGATGAACATGCATGCCGCCCTTGAAGTAGTATATTTGCGGGGGGCGGGGGATGGACCCGTGGTTACTTAAAGTTCCATGGCGGAGCGATGCCCGTCACCTCTTGATACAGCGTCAGTCATCAAAACTCGCCTGGGCGCAGTAAATACCCATGGCGACGGTCGTGGCGGTGGTGTGGTGGTATCTGGAAACCGGACGAGATGACAAAGGTCTTAGGACCTAGCCGGATCGCTTATTCTTCCGGGCTTCATTTCTGACGATCTGTACTTCTATTTAGGAAAGAATACCTACGTGATGGGCTGATCCCATGTCGAGCTTATTCACTCAATCGATCAGATCCTACCTTGATCGCCCATGTGTTTGGCCGTTTGTATTCATTCTCCCACCTGTCACTCATCGATCACTACCATCTCCGTTCCTTCACCAACGCCTCGTTTAGCAACTGGCTCTCAATCACCCCTCACCTCTCGCCCTTTTTTCCCGTCCAAAACACAATATGATGGTGATGATGATGACTATGACGGTGTGGCTGTTGTGACCCGGTACTTGGATCCGAATTGCACGGATGTGTCCCAGTACAGTGAGTTCCTCGGGACTCGCCCACCCATGGCATAACCCACCCCACCCATATGGCCAGAGGAGACTGACTAACTCTCAGTACCAGCACCTCCGTTATAACACGCATAACCTCAAAATATGTGCTTTTACTTAATGGGCATTCGAGCTGATACGGATTGCATATCACCTCATGCAATCGACCCTAATCAAAGCAAAGACAACCAGATTGGTCGACGAATTGCTCAAGCCGATCTTCCGCATCAATCCGCAATCGGCCATAGTCTCATCCCTCAATGTCTCTCTGGCCCCTGTCCACCCATCAACCGTCGTTCTGTACGTCTTGCGGAGGTTGTGTGTGACATCCGCCCGCTTGTTTGGTTGGTCCCAACATTGCTCCCTGATCTGCGACCCAATCCGGTTGCTTTGATCGATTCAACAGCTCTAGTATTCCATTGGGAATATCATATAATCTACTTTGGGTAGCCTCGAGCTGCTTACAGGAGTCACAAATGCACAGATGCAGCCTCCACCTCATGCCGAGAAGCTTTGCTCACATGCCGTTCTCCTCGTACTCTCCTCATTTTGCATCGTGGCCTCTCAAGTGATCACCCACAAGGCGTCGGTCATCAGATCCAGAGGCGTTTCGATTATAGACATCGCATCTCACCAAATGGCCACAAGCGTTTGCAATCATTGTTCGAGTATTATGGTAGGCTTACAAACAATTTCCTATATACAATCTTATGACTTGGCGACCTCCGTGCACAGGGACCGTCTCACTGTAACTGTGTTTGACCCAGACCCGAGTTCGGATCGCTTATCCATTGCTCAGTAACGCCAAGACTACTATTTTGTCAAACATGACGATATGTGTGTTTACAATGTCCTTCGCCTACCTTGCTCTATATATGCCACCTTCCATTTTAATCCTCCATCACCCGTCTTTCAGTTATAGCGGAAGCCATTCTGCCGTGGAACCATCTTTCGGATGCTTACTTGATATTTCAAGACGGCTGCCAGCGTGGTTAATCTCAAACGGGCCTGGACCACAGTGATATTTCATCACTGAGAACGGAAGCGAACGCAACTTCTATGGCTTGAGCTGAGGACCAATCAAACATTATGCGCTGGCTAAACAGTACCATCAGTGCTGTGGCACTCGTCAGCTTTGGTAAGATTCAGCACACCTTCGAGACTGCCATGTCATGCCTGACCTGTCTGCAGCTACTGCTCAAGAGCAGACGATGTACTACGATAAGTTTGGGCGCTGCTTCGCCTCGTATACCAATGATGGTGGAATCACTTTTGGTATCGCCATTCCTGAGGGAGCCACTTCAGGCACATCCTACGATACCATCTTCCAAATTACCGCCCCCGTTGGGGCTGCATGGACCGGTTTGGCTTGGGGAGGGTCCATGACTAACAACCCTCTAACCATTGTTTGGGTGAATGGTGGTGATGTGGTTGTTTCTTCTCGGGTGGCATTGTGAGTATCTTGGTTCGTGACTTTGTGACTGTGACGATTGACCATGAGCAGCGGCTATTCCACTCCTCCGCCATATGCCGACGCCGTATATACCGTTCTCCCCGGCACCGTCGTCAACACTACCCACTACTCGGTGACAGCTCTTTGCAAAGGCTGCACATACTGGGCTCCAAACGGCAATAGCCCGAAATCATTAGATCCTAACGGAGAGAACCACCTGGCATTTGCCTACTCCGGTGTGCCCGTTCATGAGCCCGCCAACAACCAAACGACCTTTAGCAGGCACCAGCATGTGGGACGCTGGATGCACAACTTCAAGCCTGCACAATCAGCCGGTTTCAAATCGTGGGCTGAGGGCGATACCGGCAATGAGCCTCCTGTCAGCACGGTATCGCAAATCACGCTATCAACTGTCTTCTCGACATTGACGTCCCGCGCCAACACCACCAGTATAGTATCCTCACCAGTCGGCAACACAACTGCCACTTTCTCGGCTTCGATTTCAACTGCAATTTCGTCTGCTGTTGCATCCAGCACCCCTCAGCTTCCCGTTCCGAGTTCGTGCTCGGGTGTAAACCCTTTTATATCCGGATATGAGACGGCCAGTGGCTGGAGAGCAGTGAAGCTTGCCGGGTCACTTACATCCCCTCGAGGAGTAGCAGTCGATTCGGAAGGGAACCTGCTGGTTGTGCAATCAGGGAAAGGCGTCACGGTCCACACATTTGGATCCGACGGCTGCATCTCCTCTACGAAAGTTCTCATTAGCAATCCATCGCTCAATCATGGCATTGGCTTCACACCAGATGGGAAAACGCTGTATGTAAGCTCCATGACTACCGCGTGGTCGTACGCCTACGATGCAAAGGCGCAGGCTGTAAGTGAGCAAACTGTGGTCGTCAAGAGCATGCACGAACAAGGGCACTCAACGCGCGCGCTACTCGTCCCGCCTGCGACGCCGCATCTTCTCGTCATCCAACAGGGGTCTGATGGGAATTTTGACTATGATTCCATCAATAAGGAAGTGGCACGTGCCGTGGTCAAGGTATTTGACATGCGAAGCGTCCCAGTGGGAGGGTATGCCTACGCTTCTCAGGGGTGGCTCCTGGGATACGGCCTGCGTAACGAAGTTGCTCTTGCGACTGACGGCAACAATGCGTACGTTCGAAAAAGCACAAATATATTGATTGCGATGCTGATAATGAGCTATATAGGGTCTGGGGTGTAGAAAACAGCGGAGACGAATTCGCCCGCACAGTCAACGGCCAGAGCTACGATATCCACAAAGATAACCCAGCAGATGAGCTCAACTTCCGTAAGTAGTCTTATGCTTCTTTTAATTGACCGATCTCAACTGATTTGACATGTTAGTCGGCAACCCTTCTGAGCCAAATGAACAATGGTACGGATACCCAACTTGCTTTACCGTCTGGGAACCTTCCGTCATCACCGACAAGAGCCTCGCGGTCGGCGGCCAGTTTGTTGTCGCCCCCAATGACACTTTTAACGACGATAGCTGCACTCAGCGCTCTGTTGCCCCGAGACTCTCGTTCCAGGCGCACAGCGCCCCTATCGGCGCCGCCTTCGACGCTTCTTTCCAGAACTTGTACGTGACACTCCACGGATCCTGGAACAGGTCGCCCGCGACAGGCTTCAAAGTCTCCGTTATCCCCTTTACAAAGCTCTCGAACGGAAATTATGATCCAGTTGCGGCGGCGGACTCCAAGACTGGCTGCATAGACATCCTTTGGAGCACCAACGTCGACACCTGTACGGGTTCGACGTGCTTTAGGCCGTCTGGCATTACGTGGGACCGTTCCTTCTCAAGATTATTCGTTGCCAGTGACAACGATGCCGAGGGAGAGTTATTTATTCTTACAAAGTCTTGATATTAGATTATATTATGTTGTTGTTGCTGTTGTTATATTCAACGTCAGGATGTTCGTGTAAAGAACAAAGGGCGCCTAGGGTAGCTAGCCTCATGCGTAAATACATATGCTGATCCAACCTTTTAGAGAGTCCTGCCACCACAGCTGACTATTATCGTCTTTTCTTCTGTTTTTACTGTATCCTTCCATTAGCGTCCCAGGAGGTCAAACTGTGTTTGTTTGTGCTGTCAAGTGCCTATAGGGTCTTCAGTGTCCAGGTTCATTACAGTATCCCCTAGTTGCCTTGTGTTGTACACCAGGTTTCTAGAGGTATCTGTCTGTCTAGTTATACTGTGCTATTAGCACATCCATGTCTTTATAGAGTTCCTTGATTACTTGTATAGTTAGGGTGCTACATCTTACACTGTGTAGGTAGGTTGGTAAACTGCATGTTCTTGAGTGCAGAGAGAGGAGTGGTGAGTGACTGTTATTAACAAAGGAAATAATATATATATATGTGTGTGTGTGTGTGTGTGTGTGTGTGGTAGGAGTAATGCTGCATGCTTGGACAGCGGGGGTTTTTGGAGTATACTATAAAGTATAGGGGAATACAGTTGCAATTCTACCATCGCTCTGATACTGTGTGTTTGTATCTTGACGGCTATTCTTTGATGTTATAAAGACGACACCGAGTTCCAGTCCTAGTTACCTGTGCGATTCCAGAGACTGTCACAACCAGGCTAAGTCAGCAAATCATCGAATACCTCAAGGGTAGCCAACGCAATTGCGGGAAACTTGATTTATCCATAGGTCATACAAACCATCAACGAGCTCCAGGACAGGAGAGTTAAGGTTACAGCAGCTCTTAAACATGGAATTGACTTTCGAGACGGAACCAATGAGATATCAAGAGCCTTTTCAATCAAAGACTTTTTCAGTGTGCCGAAAGGGCGGTCGGGCTCACAAATGAGATAGGTGTATCACAAGAATTGCAAACAACCCATATTTCCCTTTTTTTGCTGCCCATAAACACGGGGTAGGTCATTTATTCATCCGGGAGAAATTTTTGTCGACAGTTCTGGCCATCTAAAGGTAACGTCTTCCAGAATATATGAAAAGGAATCGTTGGGTACTTGAAGGGGAACATAAGATTTAGGTGGGGTCACAATTACCTAATATATCATGACCAAATAGCAGGATATGACAGGATGTTTATGGACGACATCTATGGAATACTACTTAAGGGAGGATTATACTGCTCGGTTACGTGTACTCTGGGATCTCAACCCCCAACTGGGATACACCCGGCGCAGAAAGCTTTAAGTCCTATTCTTCTTGAAAATGCCCCAATAGACCGTTGGGGTGAGGCAAAGAATATCATCCTACGAGGCTGAAATCGCGATCCTCATCTCTTGATGTGCCAGGGACAAAATCCTCAGGGTCCCTGTAGGAATCATCATCCCGTAACAGAGGTACAGAAGCATCTAACTTTAGATTAGCTTTGAGACTTTGCACGAAAGATATTTTTAACTTGCCGTCAGAATCACTTCTTGGCTTGTCAACGGCACCGAAAATTGCGTCCATTTCCTCAAGCCCGCGGCCTTTAGTTTCGGGGAAGAAAGTGTAGACAACCTGAGACAAACGAAAGCGTGAGTGACAAGCCGAAGTCAGGGGTCCTCAATGATACACATACCGGAATGCAGACGATGTTAATCGCTGCGAACATAAAGTATATGTAGTTTCCCAAGAAAGAAAGCCCGTAACTCCAAGCCATGGTAACGATAGTGGCACCAAAAGAGCCGCCCACTGAGGCGAAGTTGAGTCCGCGGGCTCGCACCGATGTTGGAAAGATCTACTTTGCATTTCAGTCAAGATTCAGTTTGAAGCTCAGTGGCCTCCTTACCTCTGTGTTGTATACCCACGTAACAGGTCCGAAACCTATGGAAAAGCCCATGGCATATACGAAAATAAAAATGATGCAGACGACACTAGCAGCTGTGTTTTCCCCATAGCCATATACGATAGGCAAGGCAGCGTTGATCTAGAGACGGAATTGTCAGCCTGTAACGATTAATCGAAAACAGGAAAGACTTTGGCTTCGACTGACTAATAATGAAACAGCCATGATAGCACAGCCAGCAGCTAGACTGTTTCTGCGTCCGAAGCGATCAATTATGAACATTTCTAGAACGGTAAACAATATCTTGACTGTCATTTCAACGGCGGTAACCATAACAGAAGTCTCCATGCTCAGACCGAGACTTCGCAATAAATATGGGAGGTAGTATTTGATGCCGGATGCACCGCAGAGCTGTGCCATGAACTGCAGCAAGGTAGCACGCCATAGACGAGCAAACAAGGCTTTTTCTTTGAAGAGCGAAAGCCAGTTTAAACCGGAATGGTGATACTCATCGGCGTCGTCAATGATCGCACTGAATTCACGATTGATCTGTTCGTCATCGAAATTACCTTCTCGAAGCCAATGGAGGGTCAGGCGCGCTTTGTCCTTTTTTCCGTGCTCGATAAGCCACCTCGGTCTTCATATGGTTAGTGATGTTCATTCTTGTAATCCGTAGAACTCACGTTTCGGGGATCCATGGCAAGCCGAGTCCAAAAATGAGGGCTGGGACTATTTCGAGCAAAATGGATAGTCGCCATCCCCAGAAATCCCCAGCTCTTGACCTCCAAAACCTTATGAAATACCCAACCCTGATGAAGTTAGAATACTGATATTTTCTGACAGTTGGTATACGCTACCAAAGACCCGTGGCAATGCCTGCGATAAAACCAACGTGGTTTACCGTCACAAAGTGGCCGCGCTTCTTCGCTGGAGAAACCTCCCTGCAGGTAAGAAGTTAGTTGTCGATGCGTATCAGTTCATTGGCTTGAACCCACGCCTGGTATAACGGCACAGAAGTTGAGACAATCGCGACGCCAAGTCCACTGACGATTCTGCCGGCGATCATTGTGCCTAAACCGGTGGAACCGTTGCTAATAGCTTGCAACAGCGCGCCGACACACACCACTATAGTTCCAACCAGGGCAGCATGCCGGCGCCCAAGCCAGTCGCTGAGAGGATGGGACAAAAGGAGGTAACTGATGGAGGTCCCGATGTAATAGGAGCTGATGATATATCCCTTCTTAAACAAAGGCATATGGCCTGTAGCATTGTCGAAGCCGTGATTGGAAATAACGGTAGACATCACACCTATGTTGTACCTAGAAGTAACGTTAGTTTCTCATATTTGACCCAATATAGAGGCCAGACAAAACAGTCAAGTATGACATGACGCCACCATATTAAGAAAATCGCAGGTGTAGTCGGCAAAACCACCGAGACCGCAACTCTCTCGGGATGATATCTCGCGTCTCCGGCAAAGTACAATGGCCGCTGAATGCCGCGAATCGGTTGACTCACCCCCATACAGAAGCACCTATGCCGAAATAGATACAGAGGAAGTAAAGGCGCAATTCACCAGGCGGCGCTGTCACACCGAGCCAAGCCATGACTGCAGAAGTGCCTTTGAGGTTAAGGAGCGCTGAACCTGCTGAGGGAGTAATTATCAGGCGAGGGGTCTCATACGGTGGGCTATCAGCATGACCTACAGAAATCAAAGAAACACTTGTAATATCTTGGGATCTAGTGAAGAGAAGGCGAATTTCTAAGTTGATGGCATCAGCTGGAAGGCAGTGAGGTATAATGAGGGAGTGAAAGTAAGCAATCCCCATCACCACCCGCGGGGTCGCCTGACCGAGACAGGTTGGATGCAGGATGATTATGTAATGTTCCACTCGCATTCAAAGTGTCAGGCCATTTGATACCTCGGACTTGTCCTTGCCAAGTCGGGCGGCGCAAAAGTCTTTTTGGACGATGACTACCGGCAGTTTCGCCTCATGAGTTACACTGCAATCTTTTTAAACGATCACCCAGTAAACAGCCCCGTGTTCACACCCTATTGTCAAAGACTGCAAGTGCATCATCACCCTTTGGGTCTGGATACTTCGCGGGATACTTCGCGGGATAAGGGATCTCGTTGACTGCCTACACACATTTTCACAGTTTCACTCGCAGCCCGATTTCCATTCCGCACACTTCTATCTTTGAATCCTCACAGATGGCTGCACAGCAGTTGGCAGCCATGACCTATAGTGAGTCATTGACTGAACTATCACTTGTATCTCATTGCCGTGTCAATCTCATCGCTCCGATCTCGCCCTTTTGAGGCCTCAACCGCCCCCCCCTTTTCTTTTTCTTTTTTTAACGTACACTATTGTTAATGAACGTTTGTTGCAAAAATCTAGACTCTGGACATCGAGGCAGCTGCTATTGTTCAACTTTCACCATGTCCTTCTGACAAATATGGCGGATGGTTATTATACTCACTGGCTTTTGTTTGGGTTCTTTCACGCGGCCCATTCACAATACTAATAGCCTGACAATAAGATTATTATTAGGTATCTTCCGCTACCAAGATCGTGATATGCATCAGTCATTGTAAACACCCGTTCCCATGTACTACTTCCACAGCTCATATTAATCGTTACTGCGCAAAAAAACCTAGCGAGGCATATATCCTGAAAAGTTGTACATCCCATTATTATCCTGCAGTCCCGAATTCCAGTCCAGGAATTGATTTTGCCCATTAGTATCCACTGCCGGAGGATACATGTTCATCTCACCTGCCGATGATCTTGTTTCGACATGGACATCGCGATAGGCCCAGAGCTGTGCTGCCATTTCAGGCGTCATTCCACTCATCATGGGAATGAGGTCAATATTTTGATCAGACATTAGCGGCTGTTGCGGCATTTGCTGTTGCTGTTGCTGCGCGGGCGACAGCTTCTGTCGTGGAGAAGGAGAACCTCCGATGCCCTGCCCAGAGGCTGGCAGCTGCTCCATCAAAGGCTGCAGCGTCCGTGGCAACACTGAGTTCCTGAACTCCGAAGAAGTAGACGAAACCCGTCTTACGGTCCTCACACTGTCAGATTGAGCCAGCATACCATGTCCGTCAAACACGCCCCCGGGAAAAATGGCGATGGACTGGCTGTCCTCAGAGCCGTCATCAACGTCTACACCTGAGTCTGGGCGGGGAGCATTGCGGGCCAAGTGCCGGGGAGCCACAGAACGTGAAGGCGACGGCCCGTTCTTTCGGTTACTTCGGTTGGAGTAGGGCATCATTTGAGAATCCGCGATGCACTGCTCGATGACTTGGATGAACTGGTTGCGATAAATGTTGCCGATAGTCTCCAGCGCCTGTTGAGTCATACCCTTGTCCCGGAGGCGATCTCCAACATCCTTAAGACTGTTCATGAACTGGGCTTGTAACTCAAAGTGCTCAATAACGGGACAGAAGTCTGAAAATGGTCAGGAAAGACACAGGACAACAGATTGTTTGTATGTTGCTCACCGAAGGGCTGAACCCTGTAGTCATCGTCGTCCGGAAATAAGAGGTTCCAGATTTCCCTCCACTGCTCTTCTGGTGTCATTCCACTTGCTCGCTTTCTGCTTAGAAGCTTCGTCATTGTGGGACCATCGATACCTGACTCTGGATCATGGTCAGAGACATCACACATCTGCTCTCTGGGTAGACGCTGGTGATCTCTCAGTTCCCTCTTGCTAGGAAAGGCTCGGTTGCAGCGATCACACATGAAAGACGATGAGTCATTGCGCTTGTGCTGCTTGACAATGTGTTGCCTACCATGTCTTAGTTCATGTTCAACAAGACTCTACGGAGAGTGACTGACCGCAATTCCGCGAACTTGAAGTAAGTCATCGCACATGAGTGGTACTCCCTGACGTTAAACCGATGCGGATTTCTCTTTCGAAAGGGACAGCTAAGGCGCAGGTTCTCATCTACCTCCCTAGGTGTTGCTCTCGCTCTTTTGAAAGGGACACTTGAGTCGCCGTCGTCATCAGTCAGGTCGTCGCCGTCATCACCTCCATCCAGGCGGCCTGTCTCGCCCTTCTTTCGTTTACCATTTTGAGACCCCCGGTCAGATCCCGACCTCCTTGCTAGGGGCATCGAACCATTGGACGAGGTTGATGTTGTGTGTGTTAATTGTGTCGCGACAGGAAACCCTGAGAACGCAAATCTCCCGATGTCTTGCATGAACCTTGAGGCAAATTGCCGAAGGAATGACGGCGGCATGTTAACCTCGTCAAGCTCAACGCCGTACGTCACCTGGAGGACATAGTCCAAGACGGCATCGGCCTCCTCATCGGGAAAGTCCACCGGTGTTGGCGTAGCTGGTTCCCACGCACGCGAAAGACGATCGGAGCCAGAGTCGAAGCTCATTCGATCGCTCAGTGGCCGGGAAGGGATAGGAAAGGGTGCCTCACATGGCGATTCGGGAGCATCGTCTCGTGCCTGTGGTCTTGAACCCTCATCAGTGTGGCTCTACAAATGGCGCACGCACTTCAACGGCTTACCTTGGTGTCCCCGCAGTGTGATGCATGTCATTCTGCCCGTCATCTTCCGCCTCATCGATGCCCATGTGTTGGAGCGGGTCGTCCTTGTACCCCATGCCGATGGATTCTGGATACGCCGGAAATTTCTCTTCGTTGATAGAGTCCACGAATGTTGAACCCGAATCGCACGACTCCCGATACCGATGGCCGTTCGTTCCGGACCTTGTTGCGATAAAGGGAGTATGCAAGCGCTCTGGCCCGTCGATGTCAGGGGTGGTCGCTCTCGTGAATGTTGACAAGGTGGGAGACATGGGCATGGAGCACGTGGTTGCCGAGTCCGGGACATGTGTCGAGCTTATCGTCGAAGCAGTCGGCGACCGGTCGCGAAATGTCTTTTCAAATGCGCCGGATATGATCTTGAGGCCTTCGGGACACTTTGACTGTTGATATTGCGGCTGCGACAAGCGGAAGTGATGCTCAAATCGTGAATGAATGACCCCTTCCATCTTGGCGTGCGTGGCAAGGGCTGGATCACGGCGAGGCAGCTCCCGAGATCGAATCGGAATCTCGGCCGTAAATGAGCGTTCGTCGTCCATCGTGACTGTGGAACGTGTTGAATATTCTGCACAGACTTGCCGAATTGATTCAAATGAAAGCCCAAATGACACTTATTCCTGTAGGTGTGATCTTGCCCGCCTTTGCTTCAAAACCCCCTTCCCAGACGTCGTCCGTTACTTGTCGAAATGATTATTAAGATGAAATCAAACGATAAACGAGTGTTGAGAAAAAGCAGAAGAACCTGAGAATTTCGGGACAAGACTCGAAAAAAGGAAAACAGGAAATAACAACCCCCACGCTCATGTTGCTGCCTCATAAGCTCAGCCCCTCCAAACTATGCGGGTTAGAGTGCGGACTATCTGAGCATGACAAGGGTAGATGGCGGCGGAGGGCTGTGATTGGGTCATGACGGCGACCGTTGCTGACGCAAGAAACAAGTTTCTGTCATTGGACAATGGGGGCGTAGTGGGAGGATGCCTCCCCTATTTCTGACGTGCAGTACGCAGCAGGCTGGCATGATCCCTCCAGTTGCATTGAAGAGCTGATTTGCTTGTGGCGGGTGTCTTTATGAGTCTCTGACAGGTGCGTCAAGCAGAAACATTGTTTCTGCCAATTAAGCCTGTTAGAAAGACGGAGTAGATAAGCCTAGCCTCCAGTCCCACCAGTCAATATCACTGTATCCCATTGAGTGCCAAGTGACCTCACATAACCCAAAAATGGGTCTATGTAAATAATTACTGACAGCTATTGGACAGTCAGCCTGGATTGCTGTACTCTTATTGGTCTGAGGTTATGTGAGGTCACTCGGCACTCAATGGGATATAACAGAGTGAATGGGGATCAGCGTGCTCGGTCTCAGGAGCCGCCCAGGCACCCAGTTTACCCTGACGCTCGCGCCATCGATGTGGGCTGCAACTCCCCAAACCGGAAATCAGCCCTATGAGAAGCATATGTCTAGTGCTGCAGTTCCACTGATGCACGCCATCGCTCCCTCTACGCAAGAAATCGCTCAGCTGGACCTGAAGCGTTCCAGCTTCAGTTGAGATCAAAGAAGCAAGGCCCAGTAGTTGCCCTGTCGCAGGCCAGCCATCGGCCTGTCGAGAACGTCTCGTTATTGGATAATGGCAACAGATGATGAATGGAGGGTACGGATCACTTCGTCCCCTCACGGGAGCGGAGTTGATCTTTTCAAGATGCTAGTGTGTCTTTCGTTGAGGTTCACAGGCAAACCATTAGGGAGACTTCTTAGGCCGTCGGGTTTTCGATTAGCTGGAGAGGGCGAATATAAAGAAACGAGGCGTCGGTAGGCAAGATGAAGATAATGACACACCACCTATTCACTGAATTATAACCGATGCGATCTTCCAAAGGTTCGACGACATCTTTCAAGACCTCAAGCGAAGCTTCTGCATGAGCTGGCGCGATACTTCTCTACGTCTGCAAGTTTCAGCGCAAACGATATGCCGCACCCCAATACAGACTCTAGCCAAAGTATCCAGGCAGTTTCGAGTCCGTAAGCTGGATACCCTTTACCTCAGTATCGCAGCGACTGTACTGATGACGGAAAACAACAGGATTTCCCAGAGCAGTTCGTATAACGTTGGTCGATATCTCAGAGGGCCATCCCCATGGACTCCATTCAGTCAACGAGATGATGCTCCTCGCATAGATTGGAGCGACCCTATGAACTTGGACCTTGATAGACTATTATGCCAAGCTCAGCAAGAGTCCAGGGCGAGCAAGAGATGATGTCGGTCTTTCGACGAATGCGTTCTGATTTCGATTACATCATGTTTCCAGGGACAAGTTTATGTCATTGCATTTGACTAAAATATAATGATACTTCGTTAAGGTTTTGGGGTCAGACATAAGAGTGGCAGAGTAATTCTAGTTTTGTGATTGGTTTAGCAGCAGAGAAGGGACATATACGGCCGTCATTGGCGGTCGATCCGCGATCATGTTTGATGCAACGACCAATGTATGTTTCATGGCTGCTGGGTCGGCTGGCCATCTCGATCGAGTACTTGATATATTGCTACATATAGATATACGTACGAGAAAGTATATCTGCAGAAGACCAGGTTGAAATATATACCGCGAAAACGCAATTAAAGCAGCCAATCCTGCCCCTATTTCCGGCGTCTGTCATCCAACAGACTCTGCTTCAACACCAAGACAGGCGGCTTGAGTAATGCATCAACCTTTTAATAAAAGAGCTCGACAGCATCAAAGATCTAGCCGATGGTCAGAATATATTGTCTTCGAATGGTGCTTGATAGATGAACTTACAACACTGGGGCTCAGATAATCTGCGCCACTGCTACCAGATATGACGGATAAAGTGATAATGTTGGCTCCAACAACGAGTGTACCGGCTGGAATACTGACATCGTAAACCTCGCCGAAACCACGATAAGCACCACGAGTGATTCCACGAGAGTCAATCTTGGTTGGCGCAGCAGGTGCAGGCCCGGTCCAGTTATTCACCTTGGCCTGGGGACGACCACCGCCGAATGCAAGGGTGGTGGCGATACGGAGGGTGGCGGCGCCGGGAACAGAGGCGAGGGTAAACTTTATGGTTACGGGGTTGTTTACGGCGGTGAAAACGGCCATGGGGAAGTCGGTAGCAGAGGAGGAGCCGACAGTGTAGGTAAGGGGGCCCCAGCTGCTCATGCGGCTATCAGAGGGGTGCATGCGGAGCTGCTTGTCGGCGTTGCGGAAGCCGGTCGGCTGGCCGTCGTACTCACCAATCTTCCAGAGGCTGGTACGGGAGGTCAAGCCGCTTGCGATGTTGGCGGTGGTGCTCTTGCCGGCGGTGACAGTGACGGAGCTTGTGGCGACCTTGAACTCGGTCTGGTAGAGAACCATAGTGTAGGTGCCGGGCTTCATCAGAGGTGAGGTGAAGGCGCCAGTGGAAGAGGCGTTGGTCCAATACTGAGCGTCGGCATTATACCAGTGGACAACACGTTGGAAGTTGCCGGCGATGCCGGAGGCCGTACCAGAAACAGTGCCACGGCCAGAACTGGCGACGAAGCCCTTGAGGCCCAGCTCGCTATAGAAAGCGTAGTTGAAATTATTGGGGATGCCGGAGCGGGAGAAGGACTGTACGTAAGGGCCGTGCAGACCCATTCGGTAGTACTCGGTCTGGGCGTGCCCACTGTTCATATAGTTGTAGAGGTTGGTGGAGTCGCCTGCGTTGTTGGTGTTGATGTCACGGAAAAAGGGGCCACCAGAGGACAGCTCGAAGCCGGTCTTGGGCTCGACGGACACGCATACATGAATCTCTTCGGGGCTGGTGCCGTAGACGCAACGTACCTTGTCGTCAATAAACCGTTCGCTTGAATAAAATTTGGACCGGGTCTGGCCATTGACGACGAAGACATCGGAACCCTCTACCACCGCCGTTGAGCCAGCGGTAGTGGAGGCGGTGCCAAAGGGATATTCATTGGGGAGGATATCTTTGTTGAGACGCGAGATCCAGCGAAGCTCGCCGACTGATGGTTCAGCAGTGATATAGGTTGCCATATAGATGCTGGAGTCACCCTCCTTGACGATAAGGTAGTGGGTCAGGGTCGACGTGGTGCAGGTCACCTTAATGACCCTGATGCCAGTACTCACAGTGAGGGTGGTCGCCTCAACGGTAGCGGAGCCGAGGCCAGAGCTGATGTGGCTGCCCTTGCTCGCATACTGAAGCTCATGGCCGCGGTATCTGATGGAGTTGATATCACAGCTCGACTTGGAAACCTGGAAGACGAGGGGGTTGGATGAGCCGGCATCGATGACCAAGTTGCTGCCTGAAGCGGTGACGCCGAAGGCTGCCAAGACTGAGGAAGCAAACGAAAGGATACAGAGGAAGACGTGAAAAAGAGTACTAGACGCCATTGTGGGCTACAATGAGCTGCCTTCCTGCCTGACGACTGTAGGGAATGAGAGGATGGCGAGGTTAGAATAAGGCCATGCACCACGAGAGACACCAAAAGGGCTCAAGAGAGCCTCCTTACGAATCTTGAAGGCGTGGATGATGAACAATATTATAAAGTCAGCACCAGCACGCCAGATTTGGTGCTTGACGGCCGTGCAGTCCAGACCTTGAAAGACCTCCTCCCTCCTGTATTTGGCTTTCTTTCATGAGATTCCATGGCCAATCGCCTGCCAAAGTTGCCTCTTCAAAGGGCCGTCGTTGGACTACTCCGTATATTGGCTTGTTGATTGGTGGAATCATTATATCAAAAACCAGCGACCAGGGGTTCCTCGTCGTGGATGTGCGAGATTGACTGCTAGAAAGGGTAAAAGGAAGAGTGGTTGAACAGGGGTCCTGGACTATCTGAGAATCAGTGGGCGTCGGCCTTAAGTCCAACTTCGGAGTGGGTGGAAGACGGACAGGAAAAAGGTAAGGAGCCATGATTGATGGGACTTTGAGATGATCTGGCAGAAGTCTGCTGCAGCCGTGTACCGTGCCATTCGCATGGCAAATGGTGTCTTTAGCCCTCGCACCATTGGATGGCAGAACTGGAAACAAACATTCAGGGTTGCAGTGTCAATCAAAACCATCAGTCGCTTGTGGGAACTATGACGCGGGGTGAGGATTTGCGGGATGTTGGGGCACTGGACGGCTAGTGTGTTGTACAATTTCGGGCGTTACTCGTTCGGACTGACGAGTGCAAAGCATGACGAGTTGGACGCGTTCGTCCGAGGGGTTGTACTTGGTGTCAACCGTAGCAGAGAGGAAGGCGAGAGAGCCGTGAAGGATGACGGCAGTCTCGGTCCGTTGGACAAAAGGAGACAACTGCAGAATGGTTATGCAGCAGTGGCAGCCCACTGCATCTGTTCGGATGAACGACTGTGTCAGGGCAATTTACACGATTTGAACCACAACGACGGTAGAGAAGATGGGCAGCGGAGGCAACTTTAGAGAGCTGTTAATGCTACTGAGGTTATACACTGTGAGCGAACGTATGGAGAATTGAGTTTTGCGAACACATGAAGCTTAATTGGATGGCAAAATGGGAGCCCGGCATATTCGGCTGCACATGCCGAGAGGTAATGTGTGCAACCACGCGGGAATTTATGAGCAGCTATACTGTTTTGTTAAGGATGAACGTTCGCCTGGTGCAACGTCGCAAATATCGGACGCTGATGGGCCCGGATGACACCGTAAAGTAAAGTGAGTGAAGCGGGACACGAAGGCCAGAATTCATTATACTTCATATATACCGGTAGGGTCATATCATGAGGAACGGGGGGCAATAAGTAGGCATACTTTAATCGCCAAACCGTAATGTCGCAGGTCAATTACGCGCGCTTTGTACGGATACAAACGGAACCATTGGGCCTGGCGTTAGGCAGAAGCAAATAAATAAACACAAACAAACAAAGTGGGGCGAGGGGAACGTGCTCCGCACAGGAGAATCCCCTAAGCTTAATTTACTCCCCTTGGCGCGCCTATCACATCATCACTCTGCCAAGTAGCTAGGTATTGTTTTTGGGAATGGTAGTTGGTGCGCCCCCCCTGAGGTAGGTATGTATCTGGACTGCGTCTTGCCACGGGCGCGACGGAAACGTTACGGACATCTTGAGCTACTCCCCTTCGTAACTTCACCGGCTTCGCACGATTCTACCAGAGACCATGTTGAAGGCGGTCTCGGTCATCTCGCTTGCCCATTGGCATTCTCTTCCTTCATTCCCATTTCATTCCCATTTCATTTCCTTGACTGGTGCTGTATCCGTAAATCCCGCCGATCTGGACGCTCCCGTTTGTTGCCCCTCTTTCTTAGGTGTTACGTATCCTCATACCTGTAGGCTGACCATCTACAATTATATGTGTTAACTCGAGCCAATCGTGTCTTCTGCCCTTAAATCCGCACCTAACGTTCCGAATGTCAAGTTTTGGCACAGTCCGCGTTTCTCCACGATCTTTTCGTATCAGAGAACATGCAGTGCTATACTGCCTGCCCTATGAAATTATTTGATTGCCCCGGTGATAGCAGCTGAGGTTTTATCTCTCCAGAGCCTCGACTGGGCGTTCTTGGCAGCATGGGGCGCTAGGGGCGCCTGTGGCGATCTATTACCCACCCCGGTTCGTCAGGCACAGAAGCACAGAACCTTTAACCTCATTATGAATTTGTACAGAGTACCGTACCTGGAGAAGCGTTCTCTTCTTTCCTTCGGTGCCTGTGTGAAAGAATAATGGTTTTTGTTGCATCCGACGGTGCATGTGGCATTGCTTGTTCCTCCACGCGCAACGTTTTGCAGGAGCCCCAAGCTATTGTCTGAGGCATGTATGTGACGAGATCCCTTACCTGATTACTCACAAACCCAACAGTTACGAACCCTGTGAAGGGGATATTTACAATAGAGGTAGATGCACTGCCGGCCGAGGTGCAAAAGCAACACGCTGTAAGCGCAAATTCTGGTGGTTTTCAGGGCTCACGCGTCAGTTGTCAGGGGCCGCTTGAGGAGTCGTCGCTGTGACTATACTCTAGCCAGGGAAAATGCCACCTTGTCGGCACTTGAGGTTTGAGCAGAATCGGATTTGGAAAGCGCCACTGATGCTGGCTTATGAACTATTGAGGATACGAAGAAGGGCGCGTGGCGCGTCTGAGGTAAACACGAAATTGTTCGAGGCGGTGTTGCTCTGGAGCAGTTGGCTGTCTTTTCGATTGCAAAAGTATGGTTCGATCGATCTGCTGGAATGCGGAAATCTTCTCAAACCGTCTTGAACCGTCTCTGCCGTTCTAGTCTGATTCAGACCTAAGGCACGGCGCTCTTCCTGTAAACCGTCACTTTTCTGCCTTGCTGATACACGAGAATTCTTCCATTAGAACCTGGCACTAATGATTGCTAAGTAGTCCCCGAAATTTTATGCTCTTCAACAAATTTCTCAGCCCACTGATTAGCGGCCTTCTATTCTTAACATTTCAAAGATGATGAACATCTTTTGGAGAGCCCAAAGATGAATCATACCGCATGGCTCCCACAATCTTGTACTGCAAAATGATACCAGCGATTTCGTCATTCTTATTGTATTGGGCCTTCAAGGTTGCACATCCCAACGTAGAACTGTCCGGCTGGCCTGTTTAGTGTCTAATTAATCGGCAACCATGAGGGCTTGGTGATGATTCTATATCCACCCCACTATGTGACAAATTCCATAAGCAGACGCTTAAGCAAGCCAATCAGATTTTCCCATACGAAGACTTCGACATACAAAAGGTGACTGTTGGTATACGGTAGGTATGCTTCAGGGGAGGTGGTCACGTGATATTCACGTGACACACCGCCTCTCTTAGCAGTATCTACCTCACCACTAGTATACCACCCAAAAGTCTAGATTCACTTTATAACTAACTAATATAAAGAAAAACCATATTTTATATTACAATTTATTACATAATCTACAGGATATCCCTCTTACGTAATTTAACTAACACTAATTAGTATATAATTAAATTATAAGATTACTACTATTAAATAAATTAGTAAGGTTTATTTTACTAGGAGTAGAGAGGACTAACTAGCCTATTAGTAAATAATCCTCTATAAATTTAACTTTTATTATTATTACCTCCTTACTCCCTTACTCTATATTAACTAAATTCTTATTAATAATAAATAAAAAGGGGAAAAATAAAAAGCTACTACTAGTAATAGTAAGGCTATTAAACTAATAAATAATAAATATTTATTCCTTTTTATATCTTTTACTATTACTATTATTACTATCTTACCTCCTATAGCCTCTTCTTTTTCTACTTACCTTTATTTACTATATTAATCTAATAACATAAGGTAACTATATTAACTTTAATCTTAATAAGTTAGACCCCTATAAAGTTAGATTATATATAATATATATAATTACTATATAGTTAGATACTAACCTTTATAGCTACTACCTTCTTACTACCTTCTAGTTAGATTTTATAAATTAGACTATTACTACCTTTAACGCTATAAGCACTAAGGTATTATTAATATTTTATAATTACCTTATTAATAATAAAGTCTTTATTAATCTAGTAAAAAGAAGAATTATACCTAAATTAGTAGACCTTCTTAATACTAATTTCTATATATAGACTAAAAAAGATATTACTTTTACACACTATAAACAGCCTATCTTTAACTTATAAATAAAGAATCCTAAATTTATTAATAATATTACTAGTTAATATATCTTACTTAAGGAGAGATTAATAATTAATTAGGCCTTATTTACTACTTCTTTAATATTATTATAAATAATAGCTAATACTACTTTATAAAAGTAGCTAACCTTATTTACCTTAACTTATTTACTAATAGTAGATTATTACTAGCTAAAGTAGAAGTAAAATAGCCTAACCTTACTCTTATAATAAGATAAAATCTACTAAGCACTTACTAATCTAAACCTAGTACTTAAAGGTAATATAAGCACTTTATTTATTAATACCTTATTATATAACCTAAGAACCTTTTACCTTTATTACCCTTATTATAACTAGTATAGTAAGTAATTAGGTAGTTAGCTTATTATAATAAATAAAGTAAATCCTTAGTAAGATATACTATTTAATCTATTAAATAACCTTAAGCCTACTACTAACCTCTTACCTTAAGGCACTATATAAAGATTTTAATTATAAGGCTATAATAAGTTATAATATTAGCTACTATATAAATCTAAATTTATACTTATCTTTTTCTCCTAACTATACCCTTATTAACTAACTAATCTTATAAAGCTACTAATAGATAAAACTAAGTATAGTAGTAAGTTATATAACGTTCTTAATCTTAAGTTAAGTATTTTTTAAAATAACTATAGTAAGGTTAGGATTAAGTAATACTAACTTAGTCCTGCCTTTTTTATTATATTAAAAAGTAAGGTATCTTAGTTC